ACCGCTTATAATTTCGCAATCTATTCAGTATCCGTTGTTGTTGCTGTTGCCTTTTACCGTCGCCTATATTTCAAATTAATAGTTAATTTCGCGTACAAAAGGCACCGCCCGTTAACTGTTTGTAAATAAATAAATTAGGGGGCCTGAGCAATTTTATTCGGTGGTTTAGCAGTTTCGGTAGCGTACGCTATAAACGCTCATCCCATTCCGCGAGTTTAATACACCCCGTACACGTTAATTTAATTATTTCATACAACTGAGTTCGTTAATCGAAAAACGAAAGACCGCGTGCAAAAATCCGTACACTCCTGGCTGATTCTGCCGATTACACAATTGCCGCTATCCGTTCCCGTGACGGTTAACGGATAAACGCGCGGCCATTGAACTGGACCGTTGCGATTTCGAACGGTTTTCGCGTCACCGACATCGCCGGCCCTAGCGTTCGTCCTTGCCGGATTTCGCGACCGTGCACGAGCCTCGGTGGCGCCGTGTCCGCGCGAGATTTCCAGGCGGATTCGGCGCGATCGAATCGCCGCCCGTGCAACGTGATCACACGGTGATGCGGCCGTCGTTTCGCTGTCGTCACACCGTACACGAACGCGTGAACCTTAAAATAAACGAAACGAATTTTCAACCTCCCCCCCTCCCCCTCTGCGAAAACAAAATAAATACCGTAAACGTTTATTTCGGTCCAAAGGCGTTCGCACGCACACGGCGAACCCATTTTTTTTCCTCCCTTCACCCCCAAACCCCCATCCCCATCCCCCACCCCCGCCGCCGCCACCACCAAATGTTTCGCACGCCTACTCGAAACTTTAAACCGCGCGCGTTGTAACGTCGCCGCAATCGACACGCGGACTATTTTTAGATCCGCGACAACGACGCCGCGGAGAAGCTCAAGAGGCTGTCGTACCCGCGCGCGCCGGCCGCACCGGCGCACGGGCCGCACGGCGGATTCGCGTTCGGCCGGGCCGGTTTCGCGACGTGTCGGTTGGAAACGTTCGAGCGAACCGGCCGACGACCGGACGCCGGGACCAGACCGTCCGTGCGTTATCCGCGCGACCGGCGGTGAATTTTCCTCGAAGTCGTAGCTTTGAAGCGGGACGATACGAACCATCCCGATTCAATAACGCGCGTACGCCCCGCTCGAAAATCGAACTAACGCAAAAAAAAAAAAAAAAAACCCGCGGATCTTGTATTCGAGTGTCGCGATAGGTCAATGCGTATGTTCCGGTGTCACAAGCGACAGTAGAAAATCGGTCCTACTGAACGAAAATTTGATGCGTCGCGCGTTTGGTCGGACGGTTTTACAGCACATTCGGGTATTACATCGTCTAAATATTAAAAACGAAAAAAAAAAAAGCAAAAAAAAAAAAAAAAAAAAAGAAAAAAAAAAAAAAAAATAAAAATATTATTGTGCGTATAGTGTAGTAATAGCCATTAAATGCGAAATTGCGCGTGCCGTATACGCCGAGGCGATGGAAAATCGAATAAATTTGTAACGAGTGAAAAATGCAGTATTTCGCAATATTGCAACGGATAAAAAAAAACTATTCAAATTGCGTATATTATTAAATTTATTGTTATGAACGGCTGTATAGACAGGATAAAGTACAAGAGCGCATTTTTTTTTTTGTTTATAGATTCTCAGCGTCGCGAGAAACGTATTGGTTTTACTATACTGTGTGTTTTTTTTTTAACTTTCTGGGCTGTTAGCAAATTGTCTACTAGAAATTTCGCTCCGAACATTGAATTCTGTAGGGATTGTTTCTTATTGAGCGAATCGCGTCTGGCCAACGTTGCGGAGACCGTTTTTCGATTTTAACTACAGTTTTGCGAATAATTTTCCGAATCGCGGGGAAAAAAAAAAATATCGGAATAACGGTAGGATTTCCGACGATAGCGCGGTTTCGGCGTTTTCTCGTTTATTCTGTTGCGATTTGTAGAATGCGGATTTCGAGCGATTTTGAATTTTCCGATTTTTTTTTTTGTTTTTTTACCTCAGTTTCTATCACGCGGATAAAATTGCCACGGCCCGGGCGTAACCGCGAACATTCGCCGACAACGGGTTCCGGAGGGTGTCTTACGCGTCGTCTCGCCGCAACGGCGGTTTTACGGGGGACCGCTTTATAACATACGCGCACACGCGCACACGCACACGCACTCACGCACACGCACACGCACACACACGCGCACGCACACACGCGCACGTATATGTGTGTGCGTTATAACGGCCGCGTACCGAACGCACGGCGCGGTGGCGGCGGTGCGTTGCGCAGCCGTTGCGGCACACGTTTTATACAGCGGGCATAGACGAAATTTCGAGCGTGAAATTTGTTTGTATAATCAGACGAAACGCGATTAGGGGGACAATCAAAATCGAGAATCGCGCGCGCGTTCCTAATTAGAAACTAATTTCAATTGAAAGCGGCGGCGGGAACGGTCGTCGCGTTTAAGCCCGCCGCCCGGCTCCCGCCGCCTCGCGCGCACGTTATTATTACTGTTATTACCGTTATTATTATTATTGTTATTAGGTGTACGGTCGGCGAGGTGTGCGTCCCGGGCGAATCTCGTCGCGCGGCGGCGTCCGCATTTTAATTGCCGCGATAAACGCGAACGGGACGCGGTGCGCGTGACAGCGTCGCCGCCGTCGCGGACGCCATCGCTCTCGGAATAATAATAAACAATTATAATAACGACGGTGCCGCGCGTCGCGCGCGACCGCTCGGAAATGCCCGCGTCGCGGCGCGTAGACTCCCCGGGCGCGCCGGAAACTCGGGCTCGGAAATCCCGGTGACGGGCGCGTCGAAATCCGGGCGGGCCGCTCGGCTCCGGCGACCGAGCCGGCCGCGGCTGTTCCCGTCGATCGAGCGTGCCACGGTACACGTACGCGGGTTTATAAATTTCGAAAAACAAAATAAACCGAAAAAAAAAAAACAAAACGTAACTCGTCAAGTCGCCGTACGGTTTTAAACCCGTCAAAAACGTACAAGTTACACGGTCGGTTTTCGCGTTTTACATTCCGAACGGAACGAGGAACGTGTCGGTTTTACACGACGTCTGTGTTATTATTGTTGTTGTTTTTATTTTTTTTTTTTACGCGAACACTTTTTCCATCAGAAAGCCCGTGTCTTTAGCGGGTTTTATATTTTTTAATAGCGTCTTTTCGGAAAGCAAACGTTCTCCGCGCGGTACTTTAAAGAGGCTGTTTTTTGAAATTCTCGTTAATATTCCGTGTAACGGGGAAAACCTCGGGCCTTAGGTTGATAAAAGATCGAAGGATTAAAAATAAGGTCGTCGTTGGCAACCGTTTTTGCTAATTTTTTTTTTATTTTAATATTTTTTAAACAATCATTGTTGTCACGGAAACGCACATTGTTGTAATCATTTTACCACAATGTGATATATACCGCATATTGTACTGTAGATAAGGCAACACTATCGACCGAATGCCGTGATCAGAATCGTTTTTTCATTACCAATAGTTTATCGATATACATTCAATTCCCGTCTGTATCCTATCTACCCAACTATCCAACTATAACAGTGGCTGCGCACCCACGTAAGAAATATGTCCCGTCTTTTTTTTTTTAATTGGCTTTTATTTTTTATTTTTTAATAAAGGTTAGATAACTATCACGAATTGACGTTAGTAACGGATTTTCTATTGTAACAGAACGTTATAAAAATGTTTCGACATAGTTTTTTTTTTTTTTGTCCATGAATACATGTTGATACCATCGGAAAAAAAAATTCCGAGTTTCAAGGTGGCATAACGTGACACATATATATTGTTGACAAAGCTGTTGTTATTAACCGATTTTTGATGACAATTTATTAAAATTATACGGATTGTACAATTTTTTTAATTTTGTAAATTATAAAATTATATATATTATAGAGTTCTGGGAAGGTCCAGACACTCTGGACCCCTCCCCCTATAAATCCGCCGCTGTATTAAGGTGTAATCCGATTTCGTACCGTTTTGACCTTTTTAATTCCTTCCCCAGTTTTTTTATTTACGTTTTAAACCGCTTTTTTGTGGATTTTAAGATAATAACATAATAAATAATAAAACCACCGCAATACAAAATCAATATTGTTTTTATTTTCAGATAACATTTACGGCTCGGCCCGTAAAACGGATACAAATTATTTACGAAGAACAATCGTGCCGGCGAGGAACAATTGATTTTCCATAGGTCTAACGCGAACACGGCTATTTTGTCTTATTAGGCGTGTCGGTGTACGATCAATCCAAAATTCGAGTTATTACGTCAAATTTGTTTGATAACTAAATTACGATTGGTGTAGCAGCTACTTAGGAACCTAGGTGCCCGTAATTAAAAACTAGATACAGTATAAAATACAATAGAAAAAAAATACGGACGTACTTCGTACGTGGGCGCAGGCGCTGTTGTAGATGGGAAGTTGGGAAGGTAGGACACAGAAGTAAATTCAATGTATATCTGTAGGCAACGATAAACCATTGCCAACGAAAAAACTTTTCTGAGCGGAGTTCAGTGGTGATACTTTTTCAACAATATATATATGTCATGTTATAGTAAAATAATTAAATAGGCATAATATATTTTTTTAAATAATATTTGTTTAATATTATACCGATTCGCCTCAGTTTTTCTCGTTTGATGAGAAAACTCCCGAGGAAACCGTTAAATGACCTCCTTAAAAAATCACCCAAAGAATATTTCCTTTCGGAAAAGGGTCTACATCGTATAAATCGGAGTGAGTTTTCTGGCAGAAAACGTTTATACATAAAAAAAAAAATTAAATATATTTTGTTAAACCAATTCGCTACGTTCGGAATCTAAAAGTACCTATTAGGCAATTATTAAAACAAACATTTTTAACAACATCTTGTATATTTAGTGTATCGCAGTTTCAATAAAATAATCAAAAAAATAAACAATTATAATTATTATAATTCGCATGAGTGAACCAGTAGATATTTAAATAACTTGATAGCAAGCATTGTTTCCGCCAACGACCATACCACGTTGAATACACCAGTTCTCGTCCGATTACTGAAGTTGAGCAACGTCGGGCGTAGTTGGTACTTGAATAGGTGACCGTTTGGGAACACTACGTGCCCTTGGCATTTTTTGACTTTTTTTTTTAAAAAATTTAAAATCTTGTAATATCATTTGCGGGATTTTTTCGCTAATATGAGAAATTATTACTGAATAAATATACATAAATAAATTATCAATTTATAGATTTTTGTCGAAATTTGATCTTAAAACTCATATAAGAAAAAATAACAACAATATACTCAATTTATTCTCTTACCGCCAATCACAACTTAATATTTCTTGACTTATGAACCTCGTGTCAATTTTTAAGAATTTCTGTTAGGTCAAACAATTTTATCCACATTGTTGTTATCTACCAAATAAAAACTAAACGAATACCGATAAATAGCTCGAAAACGACCAACGTCTTTCGATAATGATGCCACGTCTAGAAAAGGCCAGCATAAATATTGTGTGATAATTTTAGAACTCTACGATAATTTTTAACCGATTTACAATAAATAACCAAAACCAAAAATAATAAAACCACGAGTGCCTTAAAAATATTCCCGTATTTCCTAATTATTACGGAAAACACTAACCAACTAGACATCAATGGCTAAAATGCAACAAAAAAGCTTTCTTGTTGATTTTCGATTAGAGTGAGATTTCCGATAGGAAAATTGTTTACAGACGGGAAAAAAAACACACACACATCATAGTAAATCTAATACATCCCTCATTACGTTCAGAATCGAAAATACCAGGAAAAATCTATGTACGCAGACTTCGGGGCCGTATGCGTCACATGCTTTGCGCACTTGGCTTTCGCGACACTGCCTGCGTAGTAGGTACTTACTAATTATTTGGAACTTACGCCCGTTAAAAATTCTGAAAACCTTATGAAGTCGTGAAAATATGTCTTATACAAAAATAGGTAAATAATTCGTTCCTCCCCCCCCCCCTCTTCCCAAGTCAAACCGACCCAGTCGAAAATCTGTGTTAACTTACTGATTACGTATTTTATTTTAAAATCAATATTTTCTTCTTCTTTTGATTTGACAACAGAAAAAAAAAACGAAAAAAACGTGATTAAGACATTACGTAGATTACGTACATAATCCTGATGATTCTCATATGAAAGTCTATCAAGTTACTAATATTTTGAGTGAAGACATCGAAGACAAAATAATAAAAACTTACTTGTAATTTTTTCGATTCGAATAAAAAGTAACTCGTTAAGTTACAAATTACAAGGAAACTAAAAGTGGCTTGAAAGTTACAAAGTTACTGATTTTAGTAACTTTGGAACTAGTTACGACTTGCGGGCCGGTTTCGATCGCAATGTACGAGTGTTTCAATATCAAATATCGACGGTGATAACATTTTTTTTTTTTGCTTCGAAAAACGAGTTGAATACATCGAATAAACCGTTGAATTCCTAACTTTTTCACCTACACTAACCTTTGCCTGGTTAAAAGGCCAAATAATAACCGCGCTAAGCGAAAGTAGCGATTCGTGTGAGACACCGTTTCTGTAACCGATACGAATACAATGTATAAATTCGCACATGAGTACGCGCCTGTGTTTTTGTATTCCGCGTTTCTGACGGCGCTGTTGAAGTTTCCAACGGTTTTTCCCCGGGTGTCCCGTTGTTTTCGACCACGGCGCCGCTGTTCGCGGATACGCGAAACCCGTTGTTCAATGTTCGCGATTGTTAAACGTTTCGGTAATTTCACCGCGATCCGTGGTCGCGTTCGAAACGCACCCGGAACGTTTGTTGTTGCGCGAGACACGTTCGTACGCGCGTGATGCATTTACGCGGTTGTTCGCGCCGGTTTCGGCTTAGTGTGCGGCGAACCCCGTAATCCGCCGGCGCGGAGCGAAGCGGTACAGCCGTGTTATCGATAACCGTACGAGTCGCGTACGCACGCGCTGTTTAATATTCCGAACCGAGGTGATTTCGTCGGTAACGTCCCGAGAACGCCGACGCGACAAACGCGAACGCGCAGACGAAACGGACAACGCGAGCACAGACAACGAGGTACGGCGCGTCCAGAGAATCGGCGGAACGAACGTAACGGCAGGGCGTGCGGTTTACAGCGGAATTCCCGGGTTCTACCGCGCGTTCCGACCGCTCTAACCGATCGAATTGACGGGAGAACCGGGGTAACAGTGACACCGGACCGTCAAAAAATATCGATCGGTTTCCGGGGCGGCCCGGCGACCGCCGGTGACGCGCGAATTGGATCCGGTTAACTGATATTTCGATAATTACGCGTGCCGACAACAATTGTTTTCTTTCTGTTTCACACGTAGTTGTCGCGATAACCGCCGGTCGTTCGACACGCCAACCGTCAAATAGAACGACGGGTACGGCAAATAAGCATCCGTCAACACCATTGGACTAAATGTCCATGTACGTTTGCCATGTGTGTTTTTTTTTGTTAAAACTCGTGACTGGGCAAATCCCCGTATTGAAATAAACAAATGAGCCTTCGGGACTTTTCGGATAACCTGCCGGAAATCCGCGACAGCCGTTGAAAAATCATTTTTTTTTCTTATTTAGATCGAAAATCCAAACAAACCCGCAGGGTTCGGGCGTGCTGGACCTTGACGGCGAAAACGGATTTTCGAACGGCTGCGAGCACAAGTTTACTAGAAGATTTCGTAGGCGCGATAACCGCGGCGATTCACCGGCGACGAACGGATCGCGATCGAACCCGTTATTCATACGCGTTTTCGCGCGCGCTGGGATCGATCGGGACCACGACGTTACCACGGCGCGAGTGATTTTTACCGGGAGTCCGCACGCGCACGTTTCCGTCGACCCGGGAACCGACGCCGGGGTTCCGGTCGTTTTTTTTTCTTCTTTTTCCAACGCCCGTGTGAACGGCGAGATCGCGTTCCAACGTTTCCGTCGTTACGGGAATTCCCGCGTTCGGTTGTGCCGCGCACACCGGCGGACGATAGCGCGGGCGCATTACGACCGCTCCGCGTCGCCGAGGGTTCACGCGCCGTTACCGGAACCGACGACGCGCGCGATTGTCGTCGCGTCCGTTTCGGGTGACGCGGTACCCGCGCGCGCGCTTTCCCCGGATGCCGGCGCATCGTCGCTCGTACGGTGCAATACAGTGGCCCCTACCTCCCCCCCCACCCCCGTACGGCCGCCGACGGATTGTTATTGACTCGAGCCGACGGCCATTATAATAATAATAACAACAACAACAATAATAATAATAGCGGTAACACAGTAATGGTATCGCCGTGCGCGCACCTGCTGCACCGGCCCCCGACGAACAACCCCCTCCCCCCTCCCCGCTCGCGTGACAACGCTCCGGTTCGGAACGGCCGTCCGGCACGCGAGCGCGCGCGCCCCGTAACGTATACCGTCCGCGCCGTTACCCCGGTGCGTACGCGAGCGCAATACCGCGAGAGCGTTTTCGGCGGTGACGGGAAACCGCGGAACAAACGCGCGGGGGTCTCCGGACGGACCGCCAGACGCAATAGACAACGGCGACCTGTAACGTTATGTCAAACAAAGGAAGGAACGAAGGTGATACAACTGGTAGGCCGAGCCTTTATTGCGATTAGAGATAAATTATTCATTGTAGTACCAGAACATAGATCGACCGTTTCACACTGCATAAGCACATTTTTATGCCTACTTCTTTATATTACATTTTTTTTTTTTTTTATAGGTATTTCTACGTGATTGTCCTACAGTTTTAAATACGTTTGTCTTCCGTTTCTATACTTAGCGTCTCGAGTCTTCTACTATCTCCCCCTGACCACGCCTCTCTCTTTATATCGTCCCCCGTCTCAGCCGCTTTTAAATCACCTCTCATTTGCCCCCAACGCATTTCCCTTTTTTCCTTATTTTCTCTGCCTTTCCTATTTTTTTGTATTACTACGGACTACTACCGCGGTGTCCGCGCCACTCGACGGGACGAACCATTCGTTTTCTGAGCGCGCCATAGTCTGCCGCTATAAACATCATTGTTCCTTGCGCGTTCGTGCGTTCGCGTTTCGCGCTACGTTTTCACCGTCCGCACTGCGACGCAGAAAAATCGTACGCGCAACAAGTGGCGTCGTACTCTACAAAATGTTTTCGCGGAGATAAAAAGCCAGATGCCGTACCGATTCCGTTTCACCAATTCGTTTTGATATGTTAATCGGGGTTTTACCATTTTTTTTTTTTTTCTCTGCTCCGGTAAATGCGGTGGATCAGAACGCGACGGTATACCTCATGGCCGACCGGAACAGTCGCCAATTGTTCATCGAGACGCATTTAAAACAAACTTACAACAAATTATTCTGTCACGATTACAATGCGTTAGGAGGAAAAATTGATAATGGGCGCAAGCCGATTCGGAATTTTCAAAAACGTTTCCACGCAGACGTTTATAGCGTGCGATCGTGTGGCCTATTATCGTGTACGGCGATTTACGAAATTTCGTATTACCACATCGGTTTTCGATAAAAAAAAAAAAAACACCAGTACCGCTATTCGGGTTCGACTCTACACGCCCGGATGCTGTAGTTACGCTCAATTCGTACGTATTACGTCGAGCTTTCATCGAAGAACGCTAAAACCTTTTGCGAATCTACGCAGTCTGCGTTCAAACGTTTTTTTACTATGTTGTCCGTTAGCTAAACCGAGAAAGCACACGCGGATACCACGTCGCCTTAACAGATTTTATGAACTTTAACGAATGTCTGCTTTAATTTTTAATTTTTCCGAATTAATCGTGGTCAGCATAACGATAATACGATTACTACGTTGATTTTCGGTATCTGTAGATGCGCGATTTTAGATACCCGTGTAACAAGTGTTACAATACAAGATGCACGATACTTACATTTTAAATACTATTGGTACTCGATAATTTATACGGTACATTAAAATTAAAATATGAATTTACTTGCGAGTAGTATCTAAAAAAATGCGGCTTTTATTTACTAGAACCATTTTTCGAAACTCTCGAAATTCCCTCCACTTCCGTGTAATCACTTTCGATTTTCAATGTGTTTTTAGAAAACCCAGAGGGACCCCCATATTGACCCCTTGGAGTTTTAGAAATGC